TTTTATTTAGTAAATATTCATCCACCTGTTGTTTAAACACATCATGGTTTTGTCTCAATTGTTACATTTCCAAAACATTCGTAACAATCAAAGAAACCAAACAAAAAAATACGCTCAGAATTTACCAAATTAAAGTGAGTATCGAGATACCTACTGGTAATAGAGCTTTGTTCAGAGTGCATTTGTGTTAGGATGAAATAAACCCCTGAACCCGAATTTTACTAAAAGTTGCTAAAGTTGCTAAGAACTCCTGTTTTTGAAGTTTCTTGCAATTTTAAACACTTGTATTTATGACATTTCTTATTTTGATCATACAGTTCTGTTTGAATTTACTTGAGGCATATCAAGGCTGTAAGGGGAGGAATGATTACCTTCAGCATGCTAGAAGAAAACATATTCCTAGTTGTTTTACCATGCTGGCCATTTGCCTTTATGTTTATCATTAAATTTGACTAATACTTAAACCACTACAGACTAGGCCCTTTAATGACAGATTAGGCAACCAAGGGTGGGATTGGGTCATACCTCAGAGCAATACAAGTACTTGCTGGCTAGCAAGAGTAGCAATTTGTCAAGGAAGAGAAAGGTACGAGAACAAGGCTTGTGAAACAGTCCTGGAGCTCAGGGAGTTTTTAAATCCAGAGGTATGGATAGCACAAAGTTCCTGAAGCCGTATGTGCAAAGGAAGTTGTGGTCCAGACTCACAGGCACTTGATTAAAAGAACAAACATCAGAGAGAATTTTTTGTTAATATCTTTGAGAAAACCTGGTGATTCATTCCTTCTAATAAAGAAGCATTTTCCATTAGCTGGAACAACAAAAAAAATAAACCAAACCAAACAAAAAAAAAACCCCACCTAAAATTTTCTCCATAATGCAGACTAAGAAGGCAGGAAAATCTGGAAGAAACAGAGGTCCTCATGCAAAATTGTATGTGACAGAAAAAGTGCAAATTAACTCTATTTCTGCATGTGAAAAGATGTAAAGGCTTCATTTTCTGGAAACCTATGGGGCCTTTGTGCTAAACGAACTGTGCAAAATCACCTATATACATGCCTTTGAGTGCACTGTGCAGCAGCTGCAAACACTTGCATGCACACTAAGATGTATATATCTGTTGATTAATATTTTTGAACTTCTACATTATTACTGTGTTTGTCAGCCACTAAGAGAGTGTTGAGTTTAGCCTCTACAAAAACCATTGTCCTAAGAGAATTTTGCAGGTAGTAATGTAGCTGTTGGCCACAAATGGTAAAACTTTTGCAGGATATACACAAGTTAGAAGCCTGAAACAAATCTAAAGTTTATCACAAAAAATTTCTACTGCTAAGAGTCCATTATCTCATTATCTAAGATATGCACATGGAAACCTGTGATGTGATGACCAGTGGAGAAACCTACTAATTTGTGTACCCCGCCGTCCGCAGTACATCTATGCCCAGGAAAGTTTAGTAAACTCTGGTCCTGGAGATTGGTGCTGTGTAAAACTGTAGAGGCCCCTTGATCATGCAAATATACATTAATTAAGTACTGATGAGCCATTGCAGTTCAGTTTTGCATTATAACATTCCTGTACAAACCTGCAGTAGGTTCAGGATTTCTAGGAAGGTTGTGCCTCTTTAAGAAAAGGCTTTGAGATGTCAGGCTGACTGCACATGCACTGTGTGTAGGTTTGTGAAGGCTTGCTCTCCCCAACCTTAGGGACAATTTGGACTCACTAGGTATGTCCATGGTGACTCTGTATTACGTGCACCATAAACCTTAAGTTCTTCCATGACATCCAGCTTCTGGACAACTTGCTCAACATCTGCACATTGTGTGGGGGATGTGACATAGATTTCCAGCTGTACACCACTTCTGCACCAACAGATGTGCAGTATCTCCTCCAATGGGACAGCTGCAGGCTCCAGCATCCTAATAAATCCAAATAATTACCAGATTCTCCATACAAAATTTCCAAATAGAAAAAGAAAATTAACATAGGAGAACACACACCAACATGTCTGACCTGATGAAAGAGCAAAAATTATCATCAGGAAATGAGCTCAGAGGAACCTACCACCATCCAGTGCTAAAATGCAGAAATTAGAGACATTTCTGTCAGAGGTAGTGAACTACAGCCTCTCAGTTTTGTTTGCGCTGCTCTCGGGTGAACTTAGCAATAGCACGCAACATGCTGATATGCCTTCCTGGAACTACAGTTGTCAGAAAGTCTCTCACTGGCTCTTTTGCTGGCCACAAAGACATTAACACTGTAATAAAGCTTTAGTTTGATTGTATAAATCTTCCATAAAATATTGCAGTCTAATTTACAATATTGCACCAACAGTATCCACAGTACCTGACACTGTGAAACACTTAGCAATCTAATCTACCCTTCAAAAATCTATGTTTATTGAAATGCTCCAAATACAAGTTACTGTTTTAGAAATTAAGAGTGTGATAAGCCTCACAATACTGATTTTAACTCCCATGTCTTTGGTACTATCTATTCTTCTTTTAGATGAATCATTATATAAAATGAAAATAAAAACACTATTTTTGTTTCCTATTAAGTCATGAGAGACTACCTGTCTTTGTGTTTTTAGGAATGCTAAGACTTCACTATGCAAGATGGAGACATTATTAAATGAGAAACAGTTAAATGCAAGTTTGTGTGAGATGTTTCACGCATACTTGCTCTTGAATACAAGCTGAATATTTCCTTTGAAAATCTGAGAAAGAACATCTCTCTGGCTTATGAGCTATTTTCAGTAACAGAGAATAAAAATTCTGACCTTTCTTAGGCAGAGAGACCTTTGATTTTGGAATCAGACCTTTAGCATCTTTAATCTTAAGTGTTGTTAACCAAGTGGTAAACCTCACAGTGGTGACTCAATAGTCAGCATTCTCAGCTGTTTTCAAATACACAGATATACTGCTAGACAAGGCTTCTCCATCTTCCAAAAAGAAAAGTAAAACTTTTTGCTGAAATGAAAGCTCACTTAGAGATGCTGAAAAAACAATAAACTGAGTAAATTTAAAAATAAATCCTCCATGTAACTATCAGACGACTGAAACAGACCATAATTTTTCAGATATTTAAAATTCACTTGAACTTAAAAGAGG